GGGGGGGGGGGGGGGGGGGGGGGGGGGGGGGGGGGGGGGGGGGGGGGGGGGGGGGGGGGGGGGGGGGGGGGGGGGGAAGGAGAGGACGGGCGAGAGGTAGTGACCACGTGAGGGCTATTTGCTTTTTGTCCTGTGTTGTATGCATCAGCTTGCCATACCGGCGACAGGCGACAGGCGACAGGCGAAGATGTGCACTGACGGGTAAACAAGAGGTGGACTGACCTATAGTAAGAAGGTGAAACAGAAACAAGAAAATACAAAGGTGAGATTGTAGAAAGTCGAGAAGTCGAGAGTATAGAACAGATGAGAGGATGGGAAGTAAAGAGGGTAGCCTAGTGGCGGTACAGACTAGTACCTCAGGGGTACAAGAGAATCAGTGGAGCTACTAGTACAGACTATCATAAGTACCGAGTACCTAGGAAGTATATCTTGCTACTCCATACTTGTTCTATTCTTAGCCTTTATATCATTACTCGAACTATATCATTTACTTTAGACAGCATATATGAAGCTATGAAGCTATGAATCTATAAATCTATAATATATCTATACAGTGGGTGTACCTCTCGGGTACCCAATACCTCTGACCTCCCCTCTGCAAGACTCACCGACGAGTGGGGAGCTCTCATCTTTTCTTTTTTTTTTTTTTTTTTCCTTCTTTCTTTTGTCTCTTGGTCTCTAGACTTCTTCAATTTGCTCCGGGACTCGGTTTTCTACTCTTTTCTTCTCTATCGGGAAAAGAGTACACAGAGACTGCTCTGCTCTTTGCATTCTTACCGGTACGACCTGAGCTGTCGAAGAGTCATGGGACCACACGATGGCATTTCCAGTCGGAATGCCAACGCACCATTCGATGAATCAGCCACCTCGTCCCCGGGCTTGCAAAGCCCAGTCGACACGCCATCCCTAGAAAAGCCCAACGCGCTAGACCGACCGGAGGACATCTTACCCAGAGACCGCCAGCAGAAAACGGCCACCTACGACTATGCCTATGAGAAGTCCTTGAGTCACGCGGAGGCGAGACTCTTCTACCAGCATCACCAGCTGGCCGCACGAAACAGCGAGACCGTCCCTCCGAGTCCAGTAGTACCTGCCCGTGCCGAGACGCACCCAGACGAGCCACAACTCGAGCACGCAGAGGAGATGGGTCCAAACCAGGGCTCCAGCGAAGGTTCGATAGTCGCGGAGTCCGATCCGGCCACCTTGGTGCTTCAAACCGAGCCTGAAGACCCCCAGCCGCCCGCGTCGCACTACCTGGAGGAAGATGAGGAGGCCGCAAATGGCGCCGCCCAGAACCAGGCAGCACTGTTGAGCGCGGTTCACGGGCAGGGGCCATACCAGGCGGCATCGGAGGGCTTGCAAAGCACTGGGCTGGGGATTGGACAGGCGCAGGTTGCTAGTGGCTTCACCTCGAGCAGCGCGGCGGTAACCTCGGAGCTGAGTGCCATCTATCGCAAGATTAAGAAATTGCTGGATCGGCGAGCCCAGTATATGGAATTGTCCTTGCAGGGGCCCGGGCATGATCCCAAGGACCAGCCAGACTGGAATATCTATCCCCCTCCCCCAGAACCAGCGTGGGATGATGGCAAAGAATATCAACCAGGTAATGCTGGAGGCCCATCCGACCTGAATGGGAAAAAGAGAAAGATGGGTCAAGACATCGGAGAGGACTTTGATATGGAGGAATTGCTGCCGCTGCCCGAGGAATCCTCGTGGACCTATCGACTCGATAGTAACAGTGTCTATCAGGTCTTTGAGTCCGAGACCGCCGCTGACGAGCAGAAGCCCATGGTCAACATCCCGTCGCTGCGGGATTTCTACATGGACTTGGATGCGGTGGTGGATGTATCAACGGATGGACCGGCCAAGAGCTTTGCGTTCAAGCGACTTTCGTACCTGGAAGGCAAATTCCAGCTCTACACCCTCCTGAACGAATATCAGGAAATGGCAGACAGCAAGAAGGTTCCGCACAGAGACTTTTACAATGTTCGAAAAGTCGATACTCACGTGCATCATTCCGCTTGCATGAACCAGAAACACTTGCTTCGTTTTATCAAAAGCAAGATGAGAAAATCGCCGGATGAGGTGGTCCTTTTCCGTGATGGAAAACATTTGACCTTGAAAGAGGTCTTTGAGAGTATCAATCTCACGGCTTATGACCTGAGTATTGATACGTTGGACATGCATGTAGGTACACCTTCCCCCAGCCGTAGGCTCGTCGCAATTGGAGAGAACAGAGTGTCTTCCGTCCCGGTTGCACTGTTCAGTTCAATAATTGTGTTTGGTTGCCCGTCTAAACGTTGCCTGACTGAATTTCTTATAGGCCCACACGGACTCGTTCCATCGGTTTGACAAGTTCAACCTCAAGTACAACCCTGTCGGGGAGTCTCGACTGCGTGAAATCTTCCTCAAGACAGACAACTACATCAAGGGCCGCTACCTGGCGGAGATCACCAAGGAAGTGATCTCTGATTTGGAATCCAGTAAATACCAGATGGTAGAGTGGCGAATTTCGATCTACGGTCGTTCTCTTCAAGAATGGGACAAGCTCGCGGCGTGGGTGGTCGACAATAAACTCTTCTCACCCAACGTTCGCTGGCTCATCCAAGTGCCTCGTCTCTATGATGTCTACAAGGCCAGTGGCATGATGGAGAATTACGAGCAGGTCATCGCCAACGTCTTCCAGCCATTGTTTGAAGTGACCAAGGACCCGTCCAGCCATCCTAAGCTTCACATCTTCCTTCAGCGAGTGGTTGGATTCGACAGTGTCGACGACGAGAGCAAACCCGAGCGCCGGTTGTACCGCAAGTATCCTATTCCCCGGGAATGGAACACTAAACAGAACCCGCCCTATACTTACTGGCTGTACTTTATGTTCGCCAACATCGCTTCCCTCAACAACTGGCGTAAACGCCGAGGGTTCAACACCTTTGTTCTTCGGCCACATTGCGGAGAGGCAGGTGACCCAGACCATTTGGCCGTCGGATTCTTGTGCTGCCACAGCATCAGTCACGGCATTCTTCTGCGCAAGGTTCCCCTTCTGCAGTATCTCTACTACTTGGATCAAATCGGCATTGCCATGTCACCACTCAGTAACAATGCACTTTTCCTGACATACGACAAGAACCCATGCGCTAGTTTCTTCAAGCGAGGACTCAATGTGTCTTTGTCGACTGATGATCCTTTGCAATTCGCTTTCACGAAGGAGCCTCTTATTGAGGAATACTCCGTCGCGGCGCAGATCTACAAATTCAGCGCCGTCGACATGTGTGAGCTCGCAAAACATTCTGTGGACCAGAGTGGATTTGAACGCTCTCTCAAGGCCAGATGGCTGGGCTCCGACTGTTCTCTGCCGGGTGTTTCTGGCAACAATGTTGCGAAGAGCAATGTTCCAGATATCCGCGAGGCCTTCCGGCATGAAACTCTTCTCGGAGAGCTGTCCTTGTGAGTGGTGTTTCCGCCCGAGTTTCCGGGAAACCCAAGAACGTTTTATTAACATTTCTTTGTAGGATCGAACGATATTCCGAGTCCAATGGGGCCGACGACCAGAAGGGCGCGGCCTCATCTTCAGTTCCAGCCAAACAGGCGGTTGGCAAGCCCATGGATAATGTTTCTTCAAATGGTAAATGAGTCTTGAGGCATCAATTCCAACCGTGTGCAGGGAACTGACTATGAATCCCCATTTCTTAGATCATGCTGCCCCGAAGCCGGCGTCTAATATTCCGGCGGATGGCTCACAGGGTGAGTCTGTTCATCCAGCTCCCACATCCCCTTCTACTCCATCAACCCTCTTGTCTCGGTCTCCCCATGTTGCTGCGGGTGAGTTCTCTCCAAGCAACAGCGCCCTTGGAACCGAGGTTGGAGCTGGTGCGTTGCCAGAGCAAAAGATTTTCCCGGGCATTGTTCATGAGAGGGCCAGGAAGGGAAACATGCAGTAGACTGAGCAAGACTGAGCATGTCCTAGATAGTTTTTTGGGCTTTTGATCTTGCGGGGTGTGATTCTCGGTGGGCTTATTTGGCATATCCTGTCTGAGAATATCATTGAAGGGTGTATTAAAGAGCAGTGTAATAAGGCAAATATCACTATAAACATTCAAAGTCAGATCCTGTCTTGGAATCTTCCATCAAACATCGACATATAATCTTGTCTTCAACTTTCATCATCAGCATTCTATTGACTGAACATGTTCTATGTGAGACTCGCCAAACCGCCTCGATAAGTAGACCATTACTATTTGCTATGTGACGCGGTGAGGTATGCATTATTTGCAGTAAGCATCTATACTGCGGGAGAAGATTGGCGAATGGAGGGCGAACTTGACCGGATAAACTTCCTTGTACTTGTGAATGCAAGGGGCTTTGAGGTGCATTTCGACAGAGGTACTTCCAGGACACTTTAAGAACATTACTGCTTAAGTAGTTGACTTAAAGACCCAGGGCCACGGACATTGGCACGGGTTCTCAATTAAACGACTGTGTTCTTTCGGCTGTCATACTTCTATGATTTATGGACGTCGCAATCTAAACAAAAGGAACTCTTCGAACGCCAGGCCAAATCGCAATGAGAAATTTCAATGTGCAATCCAAGTCATGTTAATCATTAGGCATCAATGCACGCAACTCGGAGTACAAATCCAGCTTATGCTTCAGATTGCCCAACTGCCTTTTCGTTCCGGCAACCCCCAGCCTTCCAGATTGGTTTCGTCATCAGCCATGCCAGGCTCTTGGCGAGCCCATTCCTGGATATAGAGACGAAGAGCTTTCCATCGAGTGCAGGCATCGGCAAGCTGACCATTCGGCGGGGCGACAACGTAACCCCGGGCATCAGTATTCAAGTCATCTCGACGGAGGTCCTCAACGGAGATTGCAGAGATTCGACTGAGTTCGTGATCATAGTGCCGGGCCAGACAGGGGTAGCCCAAGGAAAGGTAATTGTAGATCTGGGTCACGAATCCATCGTGAAATTCAGACTCAATCACCTTCTGAAGATTTGGGCTTGCAGGTTTGCGAGGTTTGCTACTTCCGGGCGATAAAGCGAGTCGATCAAGGTGGGTGTATGAGTGTGACGGACTGAGCCCCTTGGTGACGCCAGTTGAGTCAATCCGAGCCATGGGGGTTGTGATCCCCGGGAAAAGGCCTTGGGCCTGCGGCACCAGGCCTTCCTCTTTGGAACAGGTTCCCATCCACAGCCCGGCACTCTTGCCACCGCTGCCACGGGGAGCCGCACACCACAGACCCTCACATCCAGTGCACAGATCTTGTGCATCAGGAGATGACATGTCAAAGGTGGTGTGATCACATATGGTACCCGCTGGCGAGAGGCTTTGGGGGATGACAATGTCCTTTCCAAGTAGTGGTGGGCTATTCTTTTTCTGTTCTGGGGGTGGCTTTGGCTTTCCAGATGTGACCATGGCCCGAAGTCTCATTTCGGCTTCCTCCTTGTGGTGGCGCATGTACTCAAGTTCCCAGGAGAGATCTGCCGAGGACTGTCGTCGGGACTTGACATGACTGTACTTCATGGAGGTATCCTCTTCCGAGTCTCTGTCATAATCGATGGCGAAATGGTCAACAGGTTCATATACCTGTTCGTTTGGGAATGCAGCTAACGCCTGATCTCTCAATTGCATGTGTGCAGACCGAGCAGCAAGCGAAAGCAGATATTCTGAAAACTCCTCGTCACAACTTTCGCGATGGGCCTTGGTGCCAAACGATTCCTTGGTGAATTTATCGGAAGACCCAGGCGCCGAAGTGCAGACTGAGGGCGATCTAGAGTCGTCCGAGTCTTCACTACTATTTGAGGGAATCGATGGTAGTTCAGGTACGCGGAATGAGTGTCGGCGACTCTGCTGTTGGCGCAAAAGACTCGCATACGAAAACCGAGATTCGGATGGTGCATGGCTATCTGCTCGGAATGCAGTGCCTGCATCGCCAGTTGTGTAGCTTACTGAAGATCCTGTCGCGTTGTGTGAGAGGGGTCGAACCGACTGTCCTTGTCGGAACGAGCGCGTATCGGTTTCGATGAGGTCTGGTTTGAATCGCCTTGGCCCTGCTGAAGTCTTCGCGTGAGATAGAGCGCTGTGGTCATGGACCTCGGAGGTCGAATGAGCCCTTCTATGACTTGTGACTGTCGTTTCGATCGGCTCCGGGAGGAATCTTCGTGGGGGTGGGGTTTCTTGTATGTTCTTTAGGTGTGTTTCTTCGGTTTGCAGATATCGGTCTCCTGGAATAGGACACTGTGGCTTGGAGCTTCGTGACTCGGTTTCGACAGGCTGTGGCAGGAATCTCCTAGGTGTTCGTGACACACTGCCAGATGCAACATTGTCCCCAGGCTTGGGCTGAGATTGGTAAGTGGATAAGCCTTCAGGCGATCTGTCGGCAGACCTCCCTATTGCGTCTGGCGTGTCCACCCCGGGCTTACAGTGTGCTTGCGAATGGCCCATGGTCCTCGCAACTTCGCACGGCTGACCACTCGAATATCAACGAAGTTGAGGAAGCATCATGCGATTTATTTGCTTTGTTTATGATCCTGCGGGGTCGGAAAAGGCGGTCTCGGTGCTGGAGAGAAGGTGAGTAGCTGGCCACACGCCCAGGGTTTCTACAATTCAGACATCCCCGAGATTCAAAGGGTTCTCACTGGCCGAGATCTCAGTTTCGCTGAGTTTGGTTGAAAGGGTGTTGAGCTTGGCGTACACAAGTTGGGAGATGGGAGTTCCTCTGTATTGGCTCGTTTTTTTAAATTACCACGTGTACCAGGAGGCACAAATACAGCCCTGGGGTACTTCATCAGAAGGTGCTGATGACATCAGCGATGTACTATCTTACGATACATGATAGTGAAACATCGATAAGATAGGGAGCTCGCGACTGGAATTTCCCTCTTTTTTGTTTGACATTCGCCATGCACTCAGCCGACAAGCGAAAGTTGGACGATGAGGACCACAGTTCAGCTCCGAAGCACCGGAAGGTGATCGGTCCCTCCCTTCCTCCAGGTCCAACTCCAGATACGGAAAAAACAGGCCCGGCAGTCTCGGCAGACTCAGCAGATAGTGACACCGGCAGCGACAGCGATGATGACTTTGGTCCGAGTTTGCCCCCATCTGATTCCTTGCCCGGATCAGCTCCGTCGAATTCCAAAGCTTCCAATGTAGTGGAGCTGCCTGAGGTGACCGAGACAGAGAAGGAGAGCCAGCGAGATCAATGGATGTTACAACCTCCTTCTCAATCTGACTGGGCCTCCAAAATCGACCCTACACAGCTCAGGAATCGCAAATTCAATACAGGAAAATCGGCCAATGTCCCCAAGAAAATGGATTCGTCGTGGGTTGAGTCCCCAGAGGAGCGCATGAAGCGCTTACAGGATGCGGTGATGGGAGTCGGTGCCTCGACAGATCAACCCCGGGACTTGCCATCCAATGCAAAGTCTAAAGAAGATCAGATTCGACGATACAATGTGAGCACTTGCCAATTTTGACTTTGGGCCCTACGGGTTCTTGATTTACTTTGAAGCTAACAAATTGTCTTCCTTGTATCATAGGACAAGAATAGGAAAAAGACTCGTCTGGAAAGCTCCGATCAGAATCGAGAGGAAGATGATGACCCAAGCGCGCGCGCGTTTGACCGTGAAAAGGACATGGCCGTTTCTGGGAAAGTTTCCAACGCACAGCGTCGGGAGATGGTGAAGAAAGCTGCGGACTATGATACCCGATTCACCAAGGGAAGCTTCTTGTGATTGAGGCTTATATGCTTTTGTTTCACCCGACTGCCTCGCAGGGTTATCGGGAGCCCATGAATTCTTGCAGAAGGCAATAACAATTGTCTCACATCCTAGTACTTGTTTTGCTACCAGCCCTTGTAAGCTTTTTGTACACAAGTCCTTGTCTGATGATTCTGTATACCCCATTTCCGCAGAAGCTCTTCGGGGTCAATGCAGCCAGTATGAACTGCAGAAGAGATTAACCTGTCAATAGGTTGACTATTCAGATGTTCAGACGGGCCCTCTGAAGGTTTCAAAATCGTACAAATGTCAAGATGCTTAGACCTGTGGAAGACTATAAAAGAGGCTATATGATCTTATTGCGCGGAACAATTATTTCACAGTAACCCCTGATCACGTGATCTGTATATGTATTGGGTCCCATTTCACAGGGATTTCAGTTTTTGAAAAGTAGCTCTATAACTTGCGGCAGAATGATATTGTGGTCTCATGAGTCATTAGTCTCAATTCGGCCACACTCTACATTCTAACTAATCATAAGCTACAAAATATTTAAAGAAAGAAAAGGAAGATATACTAAGTATTGAGTAAAAAGCTCATTTCAACTTTCGTTTGCTGTTTATATAAATAATGATAGATACATCCTTGTTCCTAAGTCTTCTTCTTCTTCTCTTTCTTTTTCTCTTTTTCTTTTTATAGTCAGTTAATCAATTAGTTTAGTTTTTTTTTTTTTTTTTATTATTATTATTCTGTAGTGTAAATACTAAATGCTATATCTATTTGTTATCTAAGGATTAAAGGTCTTTGAATATCTAGTATGTAAAGTTTTATTATTATTTTGTATAGATATATATTTAGGTGTCCACTCTTTCCATATTCTATTTGTCTATTACCACATCTTTTTGTATGTTGCTAAACCCGATTGGGAAGTGGTCAGATAGAAACTCTGACAGTAAATAATTTTTATTGACAGAACAGTTTTGTAACCGAATTTTATATAAAATATATTATTTAGATCTTTATACTAAACAATATAGTTCTACAGAATTTATAAATTAACATCTGTTTTTTTTGAAATTGTAAGTGATGCGGTTTGGGGCGCGCCTCTCCACATAGGCCAAAAGACCATTATAATCCCACGAACGCAGGATTATCCCAAACTCCGCCTTATATACTACATACCGGGCTACCCCATGTTCCAGGCGCCCGGGGCTGCACCTAGGCTACACCCTTAGGCTGCCAACCCCTGACATTTTTATTAGACTTCCGCAAAACCCCAATAGACCCAGACCCAACCCGGACCCAACCCTAGTTGGATGGGGTTTGGGGTCCAAATATCCGACCCTATATTGGGTTTGGGGTTATTGGGTCCAACCTCAATGGGTTTTAGGTCCTCAAATAGGGTTACAAATAAGACAAATGGAATTTTATGAAAAATACGAAAATTACACTATGTTTTAGTCTTTTAGAGTTGAAATTAGTATCAAAATATAGATAATATTAGTATAGAATAATTAGATTATAATTAATAATGAATTTATAGTTAATTCTTTAATAACTATTTTATAATAGCAGAAAATAGTTGTTTTAGAAAATCAAATAAATTATATGTTATTTAGGCCTGGATATATCCCGCGATACCTGGGAATTTTTGGTATCGTCTCCCGGTATCGCAGGTATCGCAGGATTTTGCCAAATTCTGGTATCGCTCCCGTCTCGTCCCGTCAAGATTACGCGATACTTGCGATACTCCCGTTAGTGCCGTTGAATGCATAATAATTGTACTTTTTAGCCTCAATTTCCTATTTGGAATATATAATCCTACTGACTAATAATATGTGTAATTGCTGTATTAGAGCTTCTAATAGATCAATTTTATTGAAAATTTAAATATATATAGATCCTATGCTAATTAACCTATATTCTAAATTTGAATACTATACAACCGGAGGAAAAGATTCTATTGAAGAAATAAAAAATTAAAAGGCTGCATAGGAATTTAATCGATATTTCCACCTCCGGATAGAAGCGCTCGGAGCGGAAGATCAAAATTCCGACATCGCATTTTTGATATTAAATCTTCAATTCTACACTTTCCTACAATCGGAATTCGTTCAAATTTTGCATAGTTATAAAATAGATAATTAGAAATAACTATACAAAATTTGAATTAATTCAGACCATAGGAAAGTGTAGAATTGAAGATTTTAAAATTTTTGAATGTCAAAATTCCGACTTCCGAATAGAAGGGTTCAACTTTTTGAAACAGAACATCAAAATTCTACACTTTCCTACAGTTGGAATTCATTCAAATTTTGCATATCAAATTTTGCATAGTTATAAAATAAATAGTTAGAAATAACTATGTAAAATTTGAACAAATTCCGACCGTAGGAAAATGTGGAATTCTCAAAAAAAGAAAATGCAATATTTGAATGCAGAAATATATATTCTGTTAAGAGGCGGGGTGGGATCAGATTCAGAAAAGGCTAAGAGTAGACACAGACAGGTAATAGACAAACAAACAGACAGACAGGTAATAGACATACAGACAGACAGACAGACAGACAGACAGCAGGATATAGGATGGAGATAGGATATAGTTCGAAGAACTACAACAGGATCAGGAACGGTACGGTTTAAATACAAGAACAGAGGCGGACAGTTATGGTAGAATCTAGACTAAGGAGTACTACAATCTTATACTGTAATAGTATTTTCCTTCTTAGTATTAAACTTTGTTGAGATCTACGAAGGATGTAGTTGAAGTTTATTAGAATAGTAGTAGTAGTAGTAGTTGTTGTTTATTAGTTAATAGATATTTTTCAGATATTTAATAGATTTAATCTATTCAATAATATATTATAATCTAGATTTATTATATTTTTAATAAATTTATTAGAAATCGAAGATCTTTTTAACTTTTTATTTTTTAACTTTTTTAGTTTCAATAGATAGTAATAGATTAGAATATTAATTAAATATAAGATTATTAATAGTAAAATAAAATAGAATTATATTAAATATAAAATATATTGTTATATTTTTAAATAGTTTAAGTTTATAAATATATAAATTAATAATCTTTTTAATATAATATAATCTAAAACTCTTCTAATTTAATTTCTTTTAGAAATAGAATATTTTAATATTATAAATATTTAATTAAACTTTTTATTTTATAATATAATAATATATAGATTATTTTTAATAATTAATTTATTTTTTGTAATAGATTTAGATAAATAGAATTTTAATATAAATAAAATAAATAATAGAATAATTTAAATTAAATTTTAATATTAAATAAAATCTATAATTAATTATAAATAAAAATATTTTTAAAAATTTAAAATAAATAAAATTAATAGTAAATTTAATTATTAATAATTATTTAGATTAATTATTTTATAGATATAATATATATATTTAGAAATATTATTTCAAAATAATATTAATATATTTAATTTAATTATTAATTTTAAAATAATAAATAATAAATAATAGATTATAGATTATAGATTTTTTAATAAAATATTAAATATTTCTAAAAAATAATAATAAATTAAACTCTATAATCTAATATAATTATTCTAAGATTATTATAAAATTTTTAAATATATTCAAAATATAGATTAATTATATTTTTAATATTAATTATTCTAATATAAAAAATAAAATACTTCATTTTTATTAAATAGTTGACTATAATTAAAATAATATTATAATTATTATTTAATAATAGATATATAATAAAGTTTATATTTATATCTTATTAAATATATTTAAAAATTAATAAAAATCTTAATATTTCTTATTCTACTTTTTAAAAAAGAATGATTTAATAATAGAAGTAATAGTTTTAAATCTATTAATTTATATATTTATATAAAATTAATTTATATATTTTATTCTTTTTAAAATATCTAATAGTAAAGTTTTTATAGTAAAAATTTAATATATTAATTTTTATTTTATTATAATTAGATATATAAAATTTATTTTAATATTTTAGATATAAACTAATATATATTATATATTTATAGTTAGCTAATATAATATTAAAATATTTTAATTATTTAGTTTTTAGAATATTTAAAATAGATTAAAGTTCATTATTTTAAAAGTAAGCTTTATTAAATAATAATTATAATATTAATAATATAGAAATTAATTTATTAATAATAATAGATTTAATAAAATATATTTAATATTAGTTATTAATATTTAGTTTTAAATTAATAATAATCTTAAATAATAGATTTTTAGATTTTAAAATAATTTGATTTTAATAAAGAAATTATTTATTTTTTTCTTTAGATAGATTCTTTAATTTTCTAATTAATATATTAGATTTAATATTTAGTTTTTTAAAATAATAAATAATAACTAATAGTTTTTTATTATAGATTTTATAATAATATTCTATTATAGAATATTTTTTTTAAAAAAATATAATAAAATATAATATACCTTTATTATTATATTATAATAGTATTCTAATAGATATTCAATCAAAAATATTAGTTTCTAGAATTATATTTTTTATTTAGTTAAAAGATTTTAGTATTAGAATATTTACAAAAATAACTTTTAATTATTTAAATACTTCTTAGTAAATAGATATCTAATTAAAATCAATATTTTTTTAAAGTAAAGTAACTAATAGTCTAATAATTTTCAAAAAATTATAAATAAATTAATAATAAAAATTTCTAAAGTTAATAAAGGCTTAAATATTAATTAAATAAATTAAGATTTCTTATTTAATAATTACTTTTATTTTATTAGAATCTATTTAAAAGTTATTTTTATTTACACTTAGTTTTAAAATTTTTATTTTATATATAAAGAATTTATATTTACTAAATTTAATATAAAATTTTATTATTTATAGATATTTTAATATTTATTAAATATAATAAATATATTTAGTATAGATTTAATTATAGATTAGAATATTATTTAAATATATAATATAAAAAATATTTAAATAGTTATATAAAGTTTTATTA